GGGGTACCTGAGGCGGGGGGAGGCAGTGGGTGGCAGCTGAGGGAGCGAGCGAGTACTAATTACCTTGGCAGTAATTAGCGACCCAGCAATTAGTAGGAGACCCCCTCGCCTCCTCCTGCCCCTGTCAGCCCTGTCCTCCCACCTGATCCAGGCAGTAGGCCCAGGGGATGCTCGAGGGCCTTAATGAAGGTGGGCAATTAGCAGCCCTACAGGGCTAGCATGGCGCCAGGCGGGCGAGCGCCCTTTGCTCGGTTCCAGGGGTTCCCGTCTCCGCTGCTCCCGGGGCCATAAACCGGGGAGAGCGGTCAGAGGGCATCGAGTGGCAGATAACGGGCCGAGGCCTTGTCCTTGTGCCACACCTCGGTCACCCGCCGCCTTACTCACCCCTACCTTCGTCACGGGGAACCGGCAGGGAGGGGCTCGTCCCGAGGATGATGGGGTGACTTCACCCTGGGGCGGTGGGAAGGGATGAACACAAACCCTAGGTCGCCCCTGCTGAGGGGGGACCTCATTGCCCTCTACCGCTCCCTGACAGGAGGGTGTAGAGAGGTGGGGGTTGGCCTCTTCTCCCAAGGGAATAACGACAGGAGCAGAGGAAATGGTCTGAAGTTGGGGCAGGGGAGGTTTAGATGAGATATTTGGAAGAATGACTTTCCTGAGAGAGTGGTCAGGCACTGGAACGGCCTGCCCAGGGAGGTGGTGGAGTCCCCAGCCCTGGAGGTGTTTTAGAAATGTGGTGGTGGAGTCAGAAACATGTAGACGTGGCACTTCAGGGCATGCTCTAGTGCCCGAGATTCTTGTTTTTTGTCTCTCTGTGGGTGTGTGTGGTGTGGGTATGTGTGCTTTTTTGGCTTTTTTTGTTTTGGTTTTTTTTTTGTGGTTGGACTCGATGATCTCAAAGATCCCTTCCAACCATGAATATTCTGCGATTCTGTGTTCACGCCCCCAAGACAGCCACTGGAGGGGGGGAAATTAAGGCAGGGAGGGTGCTGTCAGCCCTCACAGCAGGCAGCGGCCCCGCAGGCAGCAGAACTGAGGCGTCAGGGCCAGCCCCGGCCACAGGGAGCAGGGGGGGAGCAAGGTTTGTTGTTGTCTGCCATAAATGGCAGAGTCCAAGGCAATGTCTTCCCCGGATGTTCTCAACACCTATAAAATGTGATTAATGCTGATACGCTCATCTGAAAAAAGGGAAATCATCCTTAAAAATGGGTGAAAGTTCATGGGCAGCAGCGGTGCCCGGACTTCGCTCACCAGCCCCAGGCCCCTCCTGCCCCGCTCGGCGGAGGAGGACAAAAACATTTGGCTAATGAGTTACGGAGCGCAGCGGGTCCATCCCTGGGGCGGCCCTGCCATTGCTCACCACCGTCCCCAATCAGGGACGGGAGATTTTGCAATCAGGGACGTTATTTCTGTGCAGTTGGAGTTTAAACTTTGCCACTCGGGTCAGGGCAGTACAGAGGAAGAGGAGGAGGTGGCCGGGCTCGGTGTCCGCCCTGCTCCCCTGTGCACCGAAGGGGTTGAGAAGACAGGACGGATCCGTGGGAGTGGGATCTCACGCAGGTACGTCCTGGGTGCCAAACTCAACAGTGTCCCTCTACCTGATGGTCCCATGGGGCCACTAGGGCTCACTGGAAGGACTAAGGATGAAGGACAGGGTGTGATAAAGCCCCTTGCTTGGGTTGGCCAGGCAAACATCATGGTAATGACAACCGTCCCCAAACCTGGCTTGAAGGAGACTTGAGTTGGTGCTTAATAGGTTGGGAAGGGGAGTTGAGTGATGGGTTGGGTGGTTGGGGGACGTGGGTTGGGCGGTGGGTTGTGTAGTTGGGTGGTGGGTTGGTTGATCAGTCAAACAGGGAGTTGACTGGTCAGTCAGTCAGTGGGTTGGTTATTTGGTCAGTCGGTCAGTCGGCCAACAGTTTTGACCATTTGGTCTGTTTCTTGATTGGTTCATTGCTTTGGCTGGTCAACCAGTTGGTCTGTTGGTCAACTGGTTGGTCAGCTGGTCAGTTAGTTGGGTTGTCGGTCAGCTGATTGGCCAGTTGGGCCACTGGTCAGTTGGCCTGTGGGTTTTCTCTGAGTTTGGGGTCTCGCGCAGTGCCTGGGGTGGCAGTGGTGGAGCAGGGCTGAGTCCCCTCCTCGGGGTGGGCCAGTAGCAGCAGTCTCCTCCTCCTCCTCTGCTGTTACCCAAAATGATTAACTTGATCTTCTGGAGCAGTCGCACACACAGACAGGGCCGGACAGGGGAGCTGACCCAGCCCTCAGGCCTGGGCACTCATCCCACCCCCCAGCTTGGAGGGCACGGTGGGGCTGGGGCAGCAGGGTGCCTGCAGAGAGCCCCTGGCCCTGCAGTTCTCTTGGAGGAAAAAAATAGAGGATTTGGGAGTTTCAGCTCCTGGAAGGAGCTGGGGGGCCACCGCCGTGCCCCCAAGCCCCTGCGTGACTGTGCTGTCCCTCCCGCATGCAGGGCTTTGCCAGATGTGCCCACATGTTCTCCCGTACAGGTGCTGGCACATGTGTGTGCACGTGTTCACACACCCATGTCTGTGTGGGCACACACGTGCCCATTGCATGGTCACGGGGTTGCGTGCACACACCGCTCCACACACGCGTGTGCCAGCATGGCCACACGCACCCATCCACATGGTCAAACAAATGGTCACACGCATGTAGATACACCTCCCTGTGGTCTTGCACACGTGTGCCCATGCCCAAACATCACACACCGCTCCACACACGCGTGTGCCAGCGTGGCCACACGCACCCATCCGCATGGTCAAACAAAGTCACACACGTGCACACGCGTGTCGATACACCTCCCTGTGGTCCTGCACATGTGTGCCCATGCCCAAACACGCTCCCCGCTCCCTCTCACCAGTCTTGTGCCCACCCCACAATTTGGGGTGTCCCTGGGGCTCTGGGGTAGGGAAGAGACACAGGGGACAATCATGGGGGACTGAGTTACAGACCTGACCCCGCCATCTTGCAGCCATGGCCTCTGGCGTGGACAGCCTTGACAGCCTCGACCTGCTGGACCTCCTCTTTGACCGCCAGGACGGGATCCTCCGTGGCGTGGAGCTGGGGACGCCACCGGGCACCTGGCACGAGGACAGGGTGAGTCCCCTGGGGCTGGGGGGGTGCCATCCCCACCTCGTCCCTGCCTCTGGGGGAAGAGCCCCATCCCCTTTGCCTGGGAGCTGGGACCACCCCACAGCGTGGGCAGCTCCTTTGGGTGATGGCCACTCCATGGTGACGGGCGTCTGTGTCCCCACAGCGTGCCCAGGACAGCGAGGACTTCCTCAGCTCCATCCTGGGCTCTGGGGACTCGGTGTCAGACTCACCCAGCTGGTCCCCGGCTGCCAGTGACAGCGGGGTCTCAGAGGACCCCCCCTCCGACCAACTCGACAGCCCCCCCAGGTGCTTTGACAGGGGTCCCAGCGAGGTCCTGTACCCCTACGCCAACGCCTGCCGAGCTCTGCCCGTCCCAGGGGGGACTGGGGTCCCACAACCCGATGTCTCCATCGATTTGGGTGAGCCACGAGGGAGAGACTGGGCAGAGGAGAAGGCTGGGGGCACTGGAGGGACTGGGAAGGACTGGGGACACCAAGGGGCTGAGAGGGGATGGGGGAGATGGGGTCTCTCAGGGATAGTGAGGAACTTAGGGGAACTGGAGGGAACTGGGGAGAACTGGGAGGTGTGGAGGGCTGTGGGAGGTGCTGAGGGGAGTGGGGAGAGCTGGGGTGAACTGGGCAGACTGGGGAGAACTGGGAGGTGTGGAGGGCTGTGGGAGGTGCTGAGGGGAGTGGGGAGAGCTTGGGAACTGGGGTGAACTGGGCAGACTGGGGAGAACTGGGAGGTGTGGAGGGCTGTGGGAGGTGCTGAGGGGAGTGGGGAGAGCTTGGGAACTGGGGTGAACTGGGCAGACTGGCGTTGGTGGGAGAGACTGGAAGAGGAGGGAGGTTTGGGAGGGCAGGGGATGCTGGGGTGGGCTGAGGAGCGTAGGGTGCTCTGGGGGGATGCTGGGGCAGGAGCAGAGGGACAGTCTGGGGGGACAGAGTCCAGGGCCACTGCACTGGGAGGTGGCAGCAAGTCACTGTAGCTCTGGTGCTGTGGTGGGGGTGGGGGTCCTGCCTGGGGGACACTGGGGGACACAGGACTGCTGACAGCCTCTGCTGTCCCCTCACCCAGACATGTGGCACCCCGGGTTCTTCCTGGAGGAGAGCCAGGACCTGCCCGTGGTCTCCCCACCCCCTGCATCCTGCACCCTCACCGTCAAGGACCTGCTGCTCTCGGGCAGCTCCGACGCTGTAAGTCCCCACCTCTGTGTCTCCATCCCTTCTTGTCCCTTCCTGGACCGCAACCCCATCCCTGTTCTATCTCATCCCTGTCCTTTCTGGACCACGATCCCACCCTCAGCCTGAAGCACATCCTCATCCTTGTCCCTTTGCCCATCCCTCCCTGTCCTTGTCCCCTTCCCTGGATCATGGTCCCTTTCCTCCCCATCCCTGCCCCCTTCCTGGACCATGATCCCCTCTTCATTCCTGTCCCCATCCCTCCCCATCCTCCCACTTATCTCCTTTCCCACACCACGGTCCTTTCCCTGTCCCTTCCTGGACCACAATCCCATCATCATGGTCCCCACCATGGTCCTGGGGGGTCAGGTGTGGGGTGACCCTGCCACTCAAGGCCATCACCCCCTGGTGTCCCCACAGCAGCCACAGGTGCCCGGGTCCCTGCTGCGGCAGAGCCAGGGGCAGTTCCAGGAGCTGGTGCTAACGGAGGACGAGAAGAAGCTGCTGGCGAAGGAGGGGGTGTCCCTGCCCACCCAGCTTCCCCTCACCAAGGTGGGTGCCACCACGCCTGGGGAGGGGGGCATGGAGTTGGTGGGGTCCCAGCCCCAGCAGCCCTGACCCCCCCACCCCATTCCCCCCAGTACGAGGAGCGGGTGCTGAAGAAGATCCGGCGGAAGATCAGGAACAAGCAGTCGGCTCAGGAGAGCCGCAAGAAGAAGAAGGAGTACATCGACGGGCTGGAGAGCAGGTATGGCCCCCAGACCCCTGCTCCAGGCACAGCTGGCCAGTGGGGGGGCACGCTGCTCCTTGCCTGCTCCCCCCCAGCTGTGTCCCCCCTCCCCTGCAACTTCGTCCCTCCCTCTCTGTCCCCAGGATGTCAGCCTGCACCGCCCAGAACCAGGAGCTGCAGAGGAAAGTCCTGCACCTGGAGAAACAGAACTCGTAGGTGTTCCCGGGGCAGGATGGGGACAAGGCAGGGGTAGGATGGGGCTGGGACCTTCCCCCCTGCATCCTGGCCAGACCTGCTGGGGGGCAGGAAGGGTTTAGGGGTGCTCACGGGCTCTCCCTGTCCCCAGGTCCCTCCTGGAGCAGCTGAAGAAGCTCCAGGCCCTCGTGGTACAGTCAAGCAACAAGGCAGCGCAAACAGGAACCTGCATCGCGGTGCGTGGAGCTTCCAACCCCCCCCCTCCATGGCCTCTTTGCTTCCAGGGAGGGAGGGAGGGAGGCTCAGACCCATGGAGATGTGTTGGCAGGGGGGGATGGAAGGGTGGACAGAGGGATGGACGTATGCCAAGGCAGAGGAGTAGATGCTTCAAGGTTGGATGGATGGATGGATGGATGGATGGATGGATGGATGGATGGATGGATGGCAGAAGGGAGAGATGGATGGATGGAGGAAGGGATGGATGGAAGAAGGGATGGATTGATGGAGGAAGGGATGGATGGATGGACAGAGGAAGGGGTGGATGGAGGAAGGAATGGACGGATGGATTGAAGAAGGGATGGATGGATGGAGGAAGGGATGGATGGAAGAAGGGATGGATTGATGGAGGAAGGGATGGATGGAGGGACAGAGGAAGGGGGGGATGGAGGAAGGAATGGACGGATGGATGGAGGAAGGGATGGATTGAAGAAGGGATGGATAGATGGAGGAAGGGATGGATGGACGGATGAATGGCAGAGGGATGGATGGATGGATGGATGGATGGATGGATGGATGGAGGGAGGGATGGACGGATGGATGGATGGCAGAGGGATGGATGGATGGATGGATGGATGGATGGATGGATGGATGGATGGCAGAAGGGAGAGATGGATGGATGGAGGAAGGGATGGATGGAAGAAGGGATGGATTGATGGAGGAAGGGATGGATGGATGGACAGAGGAAGGGGTGGATGGAGGAAGGAATGGACGGATGGATTGAGGAAGGGATGGATTGAAGAAGGGATGGATAGATGGAGGAAGGGATGGATGGACGGATGAATGGCAGAGGGATGGATGGATGGATGGATGGATGGATGGATGGGGAAGGGATGGATGGAAGAAGGGATGGATGGATGGAGGAAGGGATGGACGGATGGATGGATGGATGGAGGAAGGGATGGATGGATGGATGGGTGGATGGAGGGAGGGATGGATGGAAGAAGGGATGGATGGAAGGACAGAGGCACTGGCAGGAGCATGTGCAGGGGGACAAATGGAGGACCACCACCCTGGTTCTGCCACCGGCCCCCTCTTTAGAAACCATGTCCCAGAACCTGCTGCATGTCCCCTCTCCACCACAGCGTATAGTAACGTCCCCCCTCTGTCCCCAGGTCCTGCTGCTCTCTTTCACACTCATCGTCTTCCCCTCCATCAGCCCCTTTGCCCCCAGCAAGGCTGAGGCGAACGGCGACTTCGGACCCGTGCGAGGTGAGGGCTGCGCCGTGGCCGTGGCAGGACCCACGGGGCACCGGAGCGGGCCCTGACCCTCCTTCCCACTCAGTTTTCTCCAGGTCCCTGCACAACGCGGCCGCGTCCCGCGTGGCTTACACACAGCCCCAGGCTGGGGATGAGAAGACCCAGGAGCCGCTGTGGTCAGAGCGTCTGGATGAAGACCCTGAGACCCTGCATGAAGCCTTCGGTGTCCATGCCTTCACCCCACGCCCAGACAAAGTCTCCCCCCGTAACGGCACGCAGCCGCTGGCCTCCGAGGGGCTGAGCCACGGGGACGGGGACCAAGGTGACACCATGTCTGGGGACAGCACCGCGCCGCACCGCGGCCTGGCATCGCTGGCTTGGACCGAGGGTGGCCACAGCAGGCCCGCGGTGCTGGAGCCGGCCGAGGAGCTTTAAGCAGCACCCAGGGACCACGGGGGATGCGATGGGGGTGGTGGCTCCGCACCCCATCCCCTATGGGACGAGCCCTGGAGGTGGCCCCTCTCGAATCTGCCTCCGGGCGCGGGCAGGTGCTGGACCCACTTGGCTTCGCTTGTATCTGTGAACTGGGAAGATGAGACCGGTTCCCACTGGCCTTACTGGGAGGGAAGGGGCTGCTCCTGGCCCCTGGGTGCAGCAGGACTTGCAGAAGGGACACAGGGTCACCAAGATGGGGACGAGGGGCCCTGGGCTGGTTGGCTATTGATGTTGTGACTGGTTGGTTTTGTTCTTTGTTTTTTTTTTTTTTTTTAGCTTTATTTTAATCTTCAAATAAAAAGTATTTTAGAAAAAAAATCCACCTGCTTTAGCGTAATTTTTTTTTTTTTTTTTAAGCTTTATTTTAATCTTCAAATAAAAAGTATTTTAGAAAAAAAATCCACCTGCTTTAGCGTAACATAGGGTGGTCTGTGGGGTTTGGGACAGGGCCACCTTGAGCCCAGCAGAACTGGGACATGTGGCCAGTGCCAGCCCAGGGCTGCCCTGGGCTAAGCAGGAGGCGGAGGGGAGGGCGGTGGGACGGACACACCATCCCCCAGCCCCACATCAGCACCCGTCCCCCTCCCTGCCACCACCCAGTGACGTCCCCCCCAGGTCACCAACAGGACCAGGACTGGCTTGTCCCAACCACTGCCCAGCTCCAGCTTCATCTGAGATGGCATCAGCCACCCCTGGTGTCACCGTTGGGCACCCATGTCCCTCTGCCCCCCTGGGGGGGCTGCTGGACCCCCCAACCACCTCCTTGCAGAGGAGGAACCAGCCGCTGGGGCCGTTTCAAGCAGGGCCGGCGGGTGCAGCTGCCCCAACACATGATTCAAGTGTTTTTAATACTTACATAAAAAAAGGGACAATGTTTAAGGGTATAAAAAAAAGAGTCGGTAGGAAACAGGGCACAGACGTGTGTCTAGACAGACAGGGAACAGTCCGGGTCAGGTGAGGAGAGGTTCCACCTTCATCTTCTTCACTGTGGTTGGCCCCATGTCCGGGCTGGGACACTCCTGCTTTGGGCTGTCACTGCGTTTTCCCTGCGTGGTCCCAAGGTCGGGGCACAGCCCGCCCGTGCCGTTGTGCTGGGAGAGGGGCTCCTCCTTCTGTGGCCCCTCGGCCCTGGGGTCAAATCCGAAGAGGTGTTCAGGTTTGGGGAGCTCCATGCTTTCCTCCACCACCACCGGCCCCGTCCACTCCGGGACCTCCAGCCCCAAGTGCTTCATCAGCTTCGTCATGACATCATCAACGTAGGCATGGATGCGCAGGTCGGCCTGTCTGTCCTGGGGTGAGCGTGGTGTTAGGGGACAAGCAGAGCGTGTGGGGACAAATGTCCCCTCCCAGGGAGCGCGTGGGGACAGGGCCTGGGTGGTGGCTCAGCTGCACGCAGGCTCCAAGGCTCTCCTGCCCCTTCCCTGAGATATCAACCCCGGCATGAACGTGCTCTGACCCCGTCTGGCACCGCTCCCCGGCCACCCCGCGGGCTGGCAGGGCTCTATCGGGGGGTGGCAACACGTTCCCCACCTTGAAACACAGCCCTGAGACGGGGATGTGGGTGCAGAGCCAGGCCAGCAAGCCCTGGAGAGTGGGATGAGGACAAGGGAGCTCTAAGGACATCCCTGAACCCCCCAACTCTGGTTATTCCAAAGCAGATGAGCTGACCTCCTCTTCCTCGTGGCACAGGTTATTTGTGCAGTTACTTCATCGAACTATAATTCCCTGGAGGATACATCATGTTTGGGCCGAATTTTTACTCCACTCTTAAGATTTATGTTCCATTTCAGATGAGCTGACCTCCTCTTCCTCGTGGCACAGGTTATTTGTGCAGTTACTTCATCGAACTATAATTCCCTGGAGGATACATCATGTTTGGGCCGAATTTTTACTCCACTCTTAAGATTTATGTTCAATTTTTAAGTGTTTATGGAGAGTAAAAGGTTTAAACCCTCCAACAAGGGAAGCCCAGCCCGTTTGCTCACTGAGCGAGGTCACCCTCCTGCCTGGCCACCCGGGAGGGGACGGTCGAGCCTCTCCTTGAATATCTCCAGGGATGGGGCCTCAACCACCTCCCTGGGCAACCTGTCCCAGTGCTCCACTACCCTCACAGTAAAGAACCCCCTCCTGATCTCCAGTCTAAATCTGTTCCCCTCCAGCTTGAAGGTGTTTATGGAGAGTAGAAGGTTTAAACCCTCCAACAAGGGAAGCCCAGCCCGTTTGCTCACTGAGCGAGGTCACCCTCCTGCCTGGCCACCCGGGAGGGGACGATGTGTGGGGATAAACCCGTGATGGGGCTGAAATACGTGACCGAGGCGAAAGGAGCAGCGTGGAGCGAATTGCTCTGAAAGCAGAGCACTGAGGACACTCTGACTCACGTGTTTGGTTGCTTGTAGGTTGACAATGACCAGCTTCCCTCCTCTCTTCTTGGTGATCAGCGGGAGGTTGCCGCTGGGTTTGATTTGCAGAGAGGTCCCCAAGGTGACAGAGAGATCGGCTTTCCTGCGAGGAGAAGACAAAACCATCCAGGGCAGAGAAAAAGGCTTTTTGCAGGCTGCTTCTCCCACCCTGCTCCAGCACGGACTCTCCCAGCTGGGAATTTGCTTCCAGCTGTGGTCGGAATTTGCAGTGGTTTCTCTCGGCCACTTTGGGAGAGGGTTGGGCGCTGCCGTGCTGTGGGTTCAGCCTCAGGGCTGTGAGGCACAAAATGTGACCAATAAGAGCTGGTCAGGGTCAGCCCAAGGCAGAGGACACGGAGCCCGGGCAGCCCCCCAGGACACCACGAGCCACAGGTGTCACCAGCCATGTGGCACAAGGAGCCCAAGCACAGTACCTGCAGGCTTCATCCGCCAGCGTCAGGTCACGGTCGGGCAGGGAATCCTCCCAGTCCAGAATGGTGTCTCTTAACTTCCCTCTAGAAAACACACACAGGGTCCATGGTTTCTTCTGCCAGGCAGGAACAGGCAGCAGAGCTGTCCCCAGAGGGGACAGTGACCCAGATCCTGTCCCAGCACTGTGAAGGGACAGAGAGCGCCCAGACAAGCCCAGAGGAGCCACCAGCAGGTGAGGGGAGGCCCAGAATTCACATGCCTGAGGGATTTTGTGGCTGGTGCTGCAACACCACCGAAGCTGCAGCTGTTTTGCTGTCCCAGGTCAGAGCTGGGATGTGTCTTCCACTCCCCAGTCTCAGAGCTGAGCCAGCAGAGCTCTGCCCCGTGGCCCAGAGCCCCCAGCTCTGCTGTGTCTGGTGAGCCCGGGTGAGGAAGGACGAGGGGCACGGGGAGCATCTCTGGTTGCCTGATCACCTCAGGGTACCTCCAGCTGCAGAGCTGGAACTGCTGTGCTTCCCTCCCAATGGTGAGCAGCAGTGGGGCAGCGCAGTGGGGGTACCCTGCTGTAGGGGAAGGGGCTCTCCAGAGCTGCCACCCCACAGCAGGACATTCCCCAGCACCAGGACACGCTCAGAAGAGGCTGCGTGGCCTTGGAGAGGTGAGTGCTGGGTTCCTATCTGGGCTTTTGGAGATCTCCCCTACACCCTCTACTTCTTCAGTTGAGCCAGGGGGACGGTGGGCTCAGCCCTGCAAAGCCAAATCTGGGCACCAGAGCCACCCCGTCACCCCGTGTCCCCCTCGGGAGCCCCCCATCCGGCCTCCCCGCAGACGTACCTGCAGGCCCGCAGCCCCCGGGCTTTGGTGACGCTGCACAACCTGCCCGTCGGCTTCAGCCCCATGCTGCCCACCACCGTGTCCCGCACGTACTGCCTGCGGGAGAGAGATGATGCCCTGCAGGACCCCAACAGGCAGGGAGGTGGCACCTGCTGTGACATTCCCCCCCCCCAATAGGGGGGGGTCCAGAGCAGGTCCAGAGAGGTGATTCTGCCACTTTACTCTGCTCTGGTGAGACCTCACCTGGAGTATTGTGTGCAGGTCTGGAGCCCTCAATATAAGAAGGACATGGACCTGATGGAGAGGGTCCAGAGGAGGGCCACGAGGATGATCAGGGGGATGGAGCACCTCTGCTACAAGGACAGGCTGAGGGAGCTGGGGTTGTTCAGCCTGAAGAAGAGGAGGCTCCGGGGAGACCTAATAGCGGCCTTCCAGTACCTGAAGGGGGCCTACAGGAAGGCTGGGGAGAGCCTGTTTAGAAAGGCCTGCAGTGACAGGACGAGGGGCAATGGCTTCAAGCTGGAGGGGAGCAGATTTAGACTGGAGATGAGGAGAGGGTTCTTCACTGTGAGGGTGGTGGAGCACTGGAACAGGTTGCCCAGGGAGGTGGTTGAGGCCCCTTCCCTGGAGATATTCAAGGAGAGGCTCAACGAGGCCCTGGGCAACCTGGTCTAGTTGGGGGTGTCCCTGCTGACTGCGGGGGGGTCGGACTAGATGGCCTTTGGAGGTCCCTTCCGGCCTGGGCAATTCTATGATTCTATTCTATGATTCTAATACGGTACACTTCACTGGGGGAAGCAGGGGGTGGCTCAGAGCCACAAGCAAACGACTGGGGCACCTCAGTCCTTCATTGGTCTTTGCCAGCGTTTTCTAACTGGGCCACAAACTGGGATGGAAAATCCAGCTCGTAGCCCTTTCCTCTCCCCTCGTCTCCCTCTCCCTCTCCCTCTCTCCAGCTGGCAGGCACAGCCCCTGCTGCAGGCAGCCCCACTGGCACATCCTCCTTGCCAGGAGGAGCAGGATTTGCTGAGGGCCTCCCAGGCAACGCAGAATTCCCAGAAGGTTCCTTTCCCACCATTTGGGAGGGTTTAGGATGCAGAAGAACAGGTCTGTCACCCTGCACAGACTGCGCTAGAGACCTGCCAGGCAGAGAGCCCCCCCACCCACAGCACATGCAGGGCCTCCATTGCTCCCCGGGGGTGGCAATAAAGCCCCCACCCTGCTGATGTCCCCCCCCGGGCTCAGGGCTCACGTACTTGCCGCATTTCACGCACTCTTCCACAAACATGTTCCCGTGGAGCTCAGCCAACTTGTCCCTGCAGGAGAAAACAACAGCAGAGGTGAGCTGGGGAAGTGGGGAGCGCCCTGGGGCAACTGGGCCAGCTGCCTAAACGCCCCCCCCTTAGCCCCCTCTCCTCACCAAGGGCCCTCCATCTCAAGGGCTTCCCCGCTTTCCAGCTCTGCCAGATCATAGAATGGTTTGGGTTGGAAGGGACCTCAAAGATCATCGAGTTCCAACCCCCCTGCCCTGGGCAGGGACACCTCCCACCAGAGCAGGTTGCTCAAGGCCCCATCCAGCCTGGC